CTGTGTTGGCTTGCAGTTCTAACTAACTTTCGATTTAGGTACTTAATATGTGTTGTCTTTATGTGGACAGATAATAAAATATTCTTTGTAACATTAATATGGTTCTGTCTCAGTGGTAGAGCATTCACCTCCAGGTTTCATTTCCCAACCGTAATGGAGGATTGGGTGTCCTAATTGTAAAGGAGCTTCCACACTTCTTCGTAAAATAAGTAGGTTGCAGTATTGGGTAGAGTACCTCAGTAGCTGCTGAACACCGAGAATCGGGTGGTTAGCTCCTGACCCCACACCTTACTAGGAAATAGCTCGCTAAGTGAGATTCACGAGAGAGTTTTTTCCTCGAATTTTAAGAATGCTGATAGGTATATAAATAATTTAGTATTTGCGAAATTTTGTTTTTACATATTTGATATAATGATTAACATATGCGTGAGTGTATGTATGTATGTATGTATGTATGTATGTACAGGTATGTATGTTAAGTTGGGTGAAGGTGAGGCAGTATGGCCAGGGAAGAGCAGTGGTGTTGGTGGTGAGGTTGGCTGGAGACAGGTACCTTGGCAGGTCCTACTGGGGGCGGGCGGGCTGGACACGACCACTGGGCAGGTTCACTGCCCCGGGACAACCCCTCCTCCTCCATCAGGGGTGGGGGGGAGGGGTAGTGGAGCTGGACGTGGAGAAGACGGCGCCGGCCAGAATCACGTAGAATTTTTTTATTTATTTCGCGGAATAGATCAACGTCCTGATGATCACATAGTTATTACGGTGAATTCCCTCGCTGGCTGAAGGTAAAGAACAATAATATCGTACTTAAATGACATCAACATTATACTTGGTGATATTTTCTTAACTTGGGGGAGCAACATTTAATGTTCAGAATCTTTCTGAAGATTGTTAATTGTTTCTAGTGTTAGTGAACATATATACGGATATAGAGAACTGTCTTCCCTCTCCACCTTAGTACAGGTTGTCTAGCCCAGCTGTGTTTAGCAAGTCACTCTTAAATACCATTTGCTGACATTCTTGGCATAGCTGAGAAAATATACAAGGTGTTTGTAAAATCCCTCGAATATTTTGTTTACAAAATACATTGAAGCTTTTCTTTTGTCTCTTGAAGCTTGTGTTTACGAAGTTACACGAGTTAGATTATTCATGAAAAAACATTGGTATGCCCTCCACCATCTTCCTCACATAACACGTCATGACCGTCCCTGATGCCTTCTTTACAATTCTGTTTGCAAGTCTTAAGCTATCACGGTGTTCATGCCCAAGAAAACAGTATTAAATAGAAAATGACGGAGTACATTAGATATTTGAACGTGTTCCTACTTCAAGGGACTTGATAAAGCACAGGCGTCAGTGGACACCCTCGAGTGTGTTGAGAGAGACCAGTGGTAGACAATTTTAGGAACAATTGTTCAAGTTTCTTTGTTGTTCTTTTCTTTACATCTATATTCATATCTAGTTAAGGCCACCACTGTTATGTTAGAGAATAAATTAAACAAATTACATCTCACAGTTGAGGGAAATAACTGAACTTGCATATGAATGAAGAGTTTCTCTCATTCCTCACTGACGATATTAAGAAACGCGAGTGTTAATCTGCATCACAGTATCTCGTTAATATAAGCGACTTACCTCTCCCAAGCTCAGTGTAGTGTCGTTTACCTGTGTGGCGCCGGGCACGCTCAGTCGATCTACCTTTTGGAGGGTACAAAAGTTAAATTATAATTCCTACACACACCCTCCTCAGAATTTCTGGGTGTGGCTTGCTAGCCAACGTGTCGGCAGTTTATAGACTGGACGGAGGGGGAACTAGTGTTGACTTTGAGGTGTTGTTCTGTCGGACGCCTGTTTCTCGCTAACCTTCACGACCTCCATACAACCGGAACCCGGAAGACGACTTACACACTACAGCATCGTGTGATGAGGGTCCGGCATATTCAGGGGCACCACAACGCAGAGTGGATAGTGGGAACGACCTCGCGGGACTTTCAACTGACGGCTGGGCTGGTTCAGCTTTCCGTTTAAACAAAAATCATTGACCCGGCGTCAGTTAATCTCATATTTGTATTATTTTTATCAGACAATCGCTGTTGTTTGTGTAGTGATTGACAGTAGGTAAAACTATTCCCCTTCATCTCCAGCCTCTTCAAGTCCTTTCCTTTCCTTCTTTCTTTTTAACATTAAAAAACCGCTGGGGGAGATCAGACACGTGTCGCTGTCAAATCTATTCACCGAGACTGAAGATAATTGAACCAGGATGATTTGAACTAATTGAAGTTATATGACACAGGGAGGTCCACGGTGTGCTAGTCCGGGTGTCTAGGGCAGGTGAGAGCTTCTACTACAGCACTCAACACACACCTGGCCAAGAGTCCGTGTAAGAGGAACACAACACCTGGCCAAGAGTCAGTGTAAGAGGGACACAAATCACTCCTGCTTCCCCCCCCTTTATTATCGTACTAGAGAATCATCGTCCACCTTCAATTGGAATTAAAGTTCATAGGATTTAATACTCTGGTCCGGGTTAGATTAATGATTTTAATTTACTCGTAACTTTCATTGTTCAGTTTTCTTTCTTAGATGTGTTTTTTTTTATCTTTTAGTTAATTTATTTTCTAAATATTTTTCTCACGTGTGTGATATAAATGTATATATTTTTTAATTCTTAGTCTTAATTTAATTTATAATTCGTTACGTCGTTTATTAATGTTCTTTAATTAGCAACTTTTTTGTAATATTTTTCTGTTTCTTTGTTCTCTTCACATTCCTTTTAATCTGTTTTTTTTTCGGTGTCTTTGTCGTCTCGTGTTTAACCTTTTTTTATTCCTCGTGTTTCCCGGGTGTGGGTTTCCCCCGGTGTGGCCCGACCTGACTGTGGGTGTGTCACCGCTGTCCACGCCACACTACACCGGCCCACACCATATCTACATCAGCCCCCACCATACACCACACCATACTGCACCAGCCCACACCACACCATACTACACCAGCCCATACCACGCCACACTACACCAGCCCACACCACACCATATCTACACCAGCCCCCCACCACTTCACTTTACACCACGCCTCCCCACAGTGCATCACACCATATCCTGCCTCTCCTCGCCACACTGCACCACACCACGTCTCACAATTTATTTCTTATTTGACCGTGAAAATAACTTTGCCCGCCGCACCACATCTCGGGAAGCAAGCAAGGGGGTGGGTAAGAGGGTAGCAGCGCCCGGTGTTTGAACATAAGACTTGCGACTCGGATTCTGGAAACTCAAACCTTGGGGTCGGTCACATGAAGATTGGGCACCCCCAGCTTATTTCATCTTTAAGCTCAACCAGCTAAACCCATTCCTATCCAAGGTAATATAACCTAACCTAACTCAAGGGCATTAGGGTGTTTATTCACGAGGCGAAATAAACTGGGATGCCTAATCTTCATCCGGGGATTCGGTAGTAATCAGAAGGTACTTGGTAGTAATCAGGTGGGGCTTGGAGGTAATGAGGAAGTACCTGGTAGTAATCAGTAGGTATTCGATAATAATCTGGAGGTAATTGGTACTAGAAATAAGATGCCTCCCAAGAATGGGTTTGGGTGTTGGCTGGAGAGCATCTTACATCACCCTGGGTCCTATACCAGTGATAAGTTGAGGTTCTGTTAACAGGTCGTTGTCGATCTTGGGGAGACCAGACGCTGCTTTGGACGGCAAGGTTTGTCATATCTATTTCTGACGGGAGGACGTCGTCTACATAGTGAAGGATAGCTTGTGTTTACTCCTGGCGGGGAACCATTATCGACTTGTTTACTTTTGATTGTTGGATTGTCTGCTGTACATTGTGGCTGACGTCTTTTTAAGTACAAATGGAGTCTCTTCGACATTGTACTTGCCTTTGACCCACTCTCCTCCTCCCTCCCCAGGTTGGCACGTGTAGGAGGGTGTTGGTTGGGTGAGTCAGGGTGGTGTGTTCCCCTGCGATGACGCTTGGAGGAAATGCCCCGGTGTCTCGTGGCGTCATCTTCCCGCTTATCGGTTGATGGTGGAGCTGCTTCATTGTTAGCTCGAGGTTGATAGCTGCGGTGGTGGCGACGATGAGTTGTGGTTGTGTTAGGGAAGACGGTGGACTGGTGAAAATCTGCGAGCACAACCACCAATTTCATGGTGGTGACGTAAGAGAGAAGAAGATTGTGTCAGTGTGTGCCAGCACTTCTTTGTGGTCTGGTTGACCCTGATCTTGGGATTTACTATCATTGGGAGGACCGTCATCCCTGTCGACTACCCTGGATGATATAGTTTAGGTTTATCATCTCGTGTTGCCAGAATCACAGTTTATAGTCGTATTCTTAAGTCACCAAATTTATTTTTATCTACGTTAATGGAGGAGTTGCGTGTAGTCTTGAAATTCTATACCAGAATGGAATCTTTTGTGGGGTCGTGAAGCTTTGGTGTAGACTTATGAACTATATACCGTATGTAATGGGCGAGGTTGATTTTAAGGCTAATGAATATTATTATTATTATTATGACTATTAGTGACTGTGAGCAGTCTAGTGATAGAAACTTAATTTTCACGTAAATGTGTACATTATCTTGACTATGAAGACTGTTTATACACTGCTGCTCATAAATTACGGTGTTAATCAAAGCATGATTGTTTTATCAATAACTCTTACGATTTATTGACTTTTGGTAAATATTTAGAGTTATAGGGAATGCTTAAATGTGAAATTATTCTTTTCTTTATAAATATTGAGGACGGGAATGTTGGTGTTAGTCAGTTGGCCGGAACGGCGGGCGACATTGTGTCCTGTGGAGAAAGCAAACGATCCAGGCAATACACACACACTAATATCAGGAGCAGCAGCCTGTGTGTGTGTGCTGGTCTGTGTCGCGTGCTACACCAAACAAGAGGCGCCGCTCAGGCCACGACACAGCTCAACACAACATTCTCTAGTAACCTCAGGGTAAACAGAACGACCTCTGGGAAACTGGCGCAGTTTTTAATGAGTTTATTTCCTTTATAAGGTTTCATAAGAATTGCTGTTGGTTGGAAAATACTAACTGTGATTATTACCAGGAACCTCGTGTAAGCTGGTGGCAGTAAAACGACGTCACTGCATGTTGCACATACCCAGATATTGTGTTGGGAACATAAAGCTCAGATCTAACGGAAATAGTGCAGTGATGGGGTGTGAGGGAAGATAGTGAGTGAGTCAGGAACACAGCTAAGACTGGTGGCATCAGCTGACTGACTGGTGTGGGCGAGTCCGTTGACCAAGACACACACCAGTACACAGGCAAGGACGCCACGCTCGAGACCTTGGTGCTGTGGCTCCGCCTTCATTATCACCACGAGTGTGACTGCGGCCTCACCCTCCTGTCTGCTGGTCCTGCGCTCTGGCTTGAGGGGCTGTGTGTCAGTCCTCGCCACAGCTAACTCGTCCATTCCTCTGTGTGTGTAGTTTAGTGAGCAGAGTTGTTAAGGGACGTATTGAGGTGTACCACAGTGTCATGGTACACACACGTGCCACCTCCTGACTGTGGTCTTCTTGTGTTAACACTAGCATGGCGAAACCTCAGACGTTAGCCTGACTAGCACGGGAGGTTGACCCTAGCCTTGTGAAGGTGGGGGAAGAGTGGAATAAGAAAATAGGCATAGAAAGAGAAAGTGGTGGAGGAGGAGGAAGAGAAAAGAGGGGAGTCAAAAGAGTAAGAGAGGCAGGAGGCAGCAGCGGGTGGTGCACCTATGCCCGCGGCTGGTGCCTCACGCTGCCCATCATGGACTTCTGGCAACACTTCTTTGGACTCTCCCACGAGAACAACAACGTCCCTGTTCACTCAGCGCCTGCAGGTAAGTACCCCCGGGGGCTACGTATGCTGGGGTAGGGCTCAGGCTGGTGACAAGCTATGTAGGAAAAGTGCTACGAACGGTTTTAAGGGTTAATAAGCTGATGTGTGTCGAGGAGGAAAAGTGAGAGGCTACAGCACTTAAACCTTTTATGAAAGTTCATGACGCGAACCAGCCAAATCGAACCAGATGGCTCTTGTTGGCTTCTGGTAAGGTGGTTTGGCTCGTGTTATCTACTTCTATAAATGTTTTAGCGTTGTGGCGTCCGTCCTGTTCGTAGTACTGTTCGTACATTGTGTATTTTGCTGGTCAGTGATCATTAAGGATTCTATAGCTCTCAGGGCCTTGCAAGACACTGGTGACTGCATACAACACAAGGGTCTCACCCGAGCCCAAAATAACGCATGTCTTTTGTCTAAGATTATTATTGTTATTTTAACTGTTATTTAATATGAGAAGGTCACTTGTTGGTGTTAATTACAAACACAGGTTCCGTGCAGTACACTGAGAGCCGAGGTACATTACATAACACTTGGCACAATATACCATTTGTGTCTAACAGTATCGTAAGCATTTTAGTGTTATATTGTGAAGGAAGGTTGAGGTGTTCGAGTCATTCTGGCTGGATTAGTGGTGATAGTGAGGATGGAGGACACCCTTCACCACAACCTGTCATTTCCCACCACCCTTGGTCTGTGTCCCGTAAAAAAAAAAACTAAGAATTGACCTTTGGCTCTACCTTAAACTGCGACTTTAAGGAACATCTATCACTCGGAAGGACGAGTATTGGATTGACTAAACACGACCCAAAAATTTAACCCCACGGGATTATCAGATTCCAGGGATGCTCGTGTTATTACCCAGGCACGAGTGTGTCGGTGCGTGTTCTGTCTCATGTAAGTCTTAGCTCCGATCTTGGGTTGATCTTAGAGACAGATTTACAAGCTTGTTTGACACAGTACAGTACAGTGTCTTATATATTTGGTGATGTTTTAGAATTTTTTGCTGTTAAGCAAAGTTGGATATCTGTCTTGTGTTTTCAACTGTGTTCCTGTCTTCACCGGCGTCCGCAACTCCAGGATCCCGGTCGTGTTGTACCTCTGACATGGCTAAATCATCACTTGTTTTATAATATACGAAGTAGTGAATGTTACGATATCGGATCGGATCGTTATCGTCTTGGTGGTTGGTTTAGGTTAGGTCTCTTCCAAGTCGTTCCATGTTTCGATATCGTAACGTTATCCTTTATCATACAGTAAAGTGCTTAATGTTAAAATATCGAAACGTTATAGCGATAAGGTTGAAATTTCCAGTAACTAAAGATAAGTATATATATATATATATATATATATATATATATATATATATATATATATATCGTAGTCAGGTGGTGATGGGCCCCAGTATTAATAGGCCCCTACTGAACATAATGAGACCATTGGGGGTTGTAGTTAATGTTTAGGTGGTTTGAGACCTGTATGGTTAGGTTTTAAGATGCATTTGGGTCCTTGTGGTGGAAGAGAAACTAAAATGAAGGCAGAATTGGATAGACATAAAAGAAAATGGATGAAAATCGACTGTGAAGAATCGTAGTGACAATAAACAACGATTTATTGAATAGTAAATGAAAAATAGATTATAAAATTGGAGATGAAATCGGGGAGGGATTTTCAGTTATTTACATCATCTCTTTGTCTGCGTTTCTTGACGAGGATGCGCACTAAACTACCTCTAACGACTCATATCCAGTCCACAATAGGCGACTCTGGGCCTCGACTGTCGTAAAAAAAGACGGAGTAATGTGGAGGCCGCAGACCTATGTCAGAGGGCGGGCTAACGTAGGAGTTAGAAGGCACAGAAGCGTGTAAAATGGTTGCCTCACTGTTGTACGTCATTACAATAGTTCGGGCTGCAGGTTAGATAGGCTCTAGTCCTTGCAGGCCCCAACGTAACCTAAAGTTACTGTCAGGATTGGGTCTCATTGGGACTAGGCCCTAATACTCATGAATAGGTTAGGGTGGGACCTGTTAGGACCCTCCCCAGTTCCAACAAGAGAGTCACCGTGGCCAGGAGGGTTAAAACCAAGGTTTGTGGTCGTGGCCTTGACCAAGATTGATGGTGGTAACGTTTAAGCCCAGAAGTTGAGTGATTTAGTGTGGCTTACCCTCTCGTTGAAGGTCAACCACAGAGGGGTCTCCCTCGTTAGACATAGATGACAGGAGGGGGTACAGCAGCATTCTTTGTTTTTGGTATTTTATGGGAGGGAGGAATTAGAAGTATTGTTGCGTATTGATATTGAAACAGTTTGTTTAGCAAGAAAAATACAGACAGAGTGGACAATAAGAACAGTATTGACATGACCTGAACCCTCTTAGTGGCACCCGATTTAAAGTACATTTATCTCAAGGAATTATTATAGTGTAACATTTAGTATCATCTGGATTACTATAACATTGTGTTGGTAAATGGACATTAAAATGTTACCACGATTATAACTTATTCTTTTACGGTTATATTACTAGAATGTACTCATTTTTACAACAGAGTATAGTTGATATATAGTGCAGGTAATTTTATGAGTGGAAGCGATACAGCTTGGGTTGTGTTGGGGTGAAACAAAGGGGCAGACACAGCACCATGTCGTGACGGCAACATATAATCATTCCAATGGTAATTTCTTTCAAAGTGACAATATATAATATATTTTTTTCTACTTGTACAGTAAAAGTGTAAAGTAAGTGTTAAAAAAATCTTATTACTTAGACAATCTATATTTTGTGAGAGCTGATTCAAAAGAAGGGAGCGTGTGTGTGTAGACATTGACTCAATGACTAGACTTGTATTTATTTGCAACAAAGTTTCTGCACCAAGCTTTATTATGCCACTCTGAACACGTTAACTCGATAAATATATATTTATTTATTTATATATACAGTATGTAGGTTAAAGCAACAACTTTTGTACTGCCACTAGCATATAAACTCCCGTACGTGTCTTCTATGCTGGAGTGTGTTCTTTGACTCACCCTTCAGAATGACACGTGCATGTGAAAGTTCTTGATGTTATTAGTGAGGTGCGGAATGAACACACTTACTATTATTTACACTCTTTACCGCCATTATTGTCACCGCCTTTTGTTACCATTGTTTATAGGTGTTTTATTTATGGTCTGGCTTCACGTGTTGTTGCGCTGGTTCGCCATGACGCTCCAGGTAGAGGATGGTGGAATTAAAGGTGTGTGCTATTATACCTGAAAGTATATCATCGTTTACATTTAATTAATATAGTGTTTTAAGTACAGTACATTCAGCGTCTATGAGGATAACAAAGTCACCTCTCCACGTATCGGTCTTTAGGAAACTCTTAGTTCATGACGTGTAAGAGTGTGTTCCGGTATATGGCCTGAGACTTTAGGAAATGTTTATATCGTTTTTGTTTTAATTTTACTGGGATTTTACGTTTCATCTTTCTTAATTTCTTCCTATGATTCTTTATCTGGTTATTTTTCTTGCCCTCATTTTGTTTTACTTGTCTATTACAAGGTGTTCTGATTCCTTTCCTGTTGATTGTTTTTCGTCTTTTGTGTGTAAGTCTTAAATTTTTCTTGTTCTTATATTTGGTATAATTTTCTTTCCAAATTTAATCGTCTATTTTCATTTATTTATTTTGTTTTTTCCCTCGTTAATCCCTCACTAGGGGGGGGGGGGTAAAGACATACAAACTGACAGTCCGTTCGTATGTCCGTCTGAGTTTCAGTTAATAAGAATACGTAGACATGATAATCCAGAGGTAAGGAGCTGTATCTGACCAAGAAGGATATTCTGATCTAATCATTACCATCAGGCAGTCTGTCAGCTCAAGGAGAGATCAGATTAGTATCGTCGTCAGATCTGTTCACTGAGGTCTGTCCTTCCTAATGACTGGAGATATTTAAAGTAGGATGATTTACATTTATTGTTTGATATTATACGACGTGAGAAAAATACTTGTGCTTGGAAGATCTACAGAATGCTAGTTGGATATTCCTCTTCTGCTGAATCTGTAAGTTAAGCTATTTTTATTATCTTCCCCCTGTCATGTATAGTTAATTAGTTTCCACAATTAATCATTCTTAATGGTCTGTCTGGTCTTAAAACCTAATTATCTGTAGTAATTATCCTAAAACGCTTTGGTGTGTATAAATTTATCTGCAACTAAGACAATTAAGATGGTCTGAACTTGATGTGCCATAGTCTTATATATTCTACCATTAGACAATCTCTCAGAATATTACACACACACACACACACACACACACACACACACACACACACACACACACACACACCACGACCTCATTTGCAAATTTGGTGAGAAGCTTCTGCACCATCCTCGACACCGGCTCCTATTACCACCCAAGGTCCCTCGTTCGAGAATTGCTGTTCGACACCACAACCGCATCCAGCCCATACGAGCACGTACTGATCGCTATAAGAACAGCCCAGTCCCAACCATTGTAAAAATTTTATCAATAACTTGTAATCAACCAGTGTATTCACTCCCAGTCAATCTTACCTTTTTGTACTGTTACTATGTTGAAATGCCCTGTAGTTTAAGCACCGCCCCACTTAGTTATTAAATATCATATTTGTATCACTTATGTTACTTGTATATTATTGGTCAGTCAAGTGACCCATTCCCCAATTATGCAACTGTATATTTTCAGCTTTCCGGCTGCCATGCTCTTTAAAAAAAAACGTTGATTATTTTTATTATTATTATCTCACACACACACACACACACACACACACACACACACACACACACACACACACACACACACACACACACACACACACACACACACACACACACACACACACTAGAGTACTTCTCCAGCCGCTAGACGGAGCTGCTCTTAACGGCAAGTATTACCAGGGTTCATAAACCAGGCATGATGGTATCTCTCTCACACACCGGCTGGCCAGGACAGTGTGGTTAAACGCCCGCTGCTGCCCCGGACA